TGCATACATGCCTGTAACTTCTTTACTGCTTCTTAACAGAGGTGTATTTCTTGGGACAAATGTCAGCAACTATACAGAGTACGTTTTGCTGGATAAGGCAAGTTTTGGAAGTAACTTCGGTCTTAACAGACAGTGTTAGCAAACTACACCTACTTGCTTCTAGTGCAGTTCTGCTCCAATCTCAGATTCTCAAAGAAAAATGTGTTCTTTCTCATATTTAATTTTTTTAGACCAAGTGAATTTTTTTCTGCATTCTTAATGAGGTATCCCATCACACTTAAGCTCAAAATTAAAGTCTCCTATGTCTCTTCAGCAATTAATATAAGTGCCAAGTAATCATTTCCCCCTGTCTGATAAAAGTCAAGTAGCTATATTTAAATGCAGGCAATCATCCAGCTTCCTGCTATCTCCATCCTAACAAGACATCCTGTCTCCCTTAACATACAACGTCAGTCAAGAGTTTTGATTCTAGCACAACTACTTTCCAACCCTTCCTTCGAGGCGAGTTATCTACTCTCCCCTCATTCACTTGGAGAATGAGCTTTTGCTTGGCCAAAATGATCAAAACGATCAAAATAACCTGTTTGTCTTATTAGGTGGTGAATTTATTTCACTTGTTCTACTCTCCTACAGAACCAATGATTGCATCGACCGTTGCCTTTTGGACAGCAGGTAAAGAAGAGGAACTGGATGTCCACAGGTGATGTCTTCATCATGGCTTGAATTATTCTCTAACACATATGTTCCCCTGGCTTCTCTCAGAATAATGAATTCTCACCCTGACCCTTGCTCACTATTTTACATGTGTTCATAAAGAATCCTGCAGTGAAGACACCCAGAATATGGTAATTTCTGACATTGCAGAAGACTACAAAGGTTCAGGGCCATTACGTTTTAAATTGGGGTGGATAGGAGACATCTGTCTTGTAGCTGAGTGCATTACCTAAGCCAAAATGGGTGCTACTGCATTCCAGGCAAATAAGCACACACCTCTAACACTTAATGAAACGTAATTATGGTAATTATTTATCACCAATGTCTTCAGTGTCAGAAAAGATACTTTGTCCTTCAGAAAAGAAGTAAACTGTGGTCCCAAGCAGCAAACTAACCTGACTGTGACATTTTCTAGCATACATGTAGCTCAAACCAATAAGAAATGCCAGCAGTGGAGCTGTGCTGATGCCATGATGACTTAGGGCTCTCTTCTGTTGCATGTGTTAACATTCTCCAGTGGATTTTTATTCAGGATTTATCCATTCCATACAACACTACACCATGCAGAGATATCTGGTACTGGTATTTCTGGCACTAGTTTGAAGCAGTGGTGAGTAGTTCCTCCTGGGCTATTTTTCAGCTGCTCTTTTTGTAACTCAGCATAGCATCTCTGTGTGTCACCAATCATGATTTGTAGACAGAAGCAGCACAGCTCTCTGCCCACTGCTGAACTGCATGACATAGACAGATCCAAATGCAAGTAAAGTATGGTATTGCCTGCAATGTATTACTTGCTCATTACTATTGCTTGAGAGCTTAATATTAGATGGAGGTGGAGTGTAGTTACTAAATCATAGAGAGTACATCCTCTGAAACAGTAAAAGTGGAAGAATCAACAATAATTATTTTAATCACCTTGGTAAAATTTCTATTCAGCTTTTAAGATACATGTAAAGGTAAGGATCACAACATTTCTTTAAAATGTGAACTTTCTATAGGTTGTTATTACTAGAATTGTGCTTAACAGAATAGCAGTGTTCTGCACTGTTCTTCACAAAGAGTACCTTCACAAATGTGGTTTTGCAAATGTACTTTGCATTGAAGTACACTTAAATCTATCTATTTTAAAAACCTTGTGTTTTCACACTTGTGTTCTTCAAATTTGCAGCTGAATGTCCACAATATACAGAGAAAATATGGGGAGTGGGAATCCATAGAGAAAAATATATACCAGATGTACTTTAAAATCAAAGGCCACATTAAAATACCTTTTTTTTTTTTTTCATGCTGGTCAATATTTACATACCTTAAATCTCACTTAATTTCATTTAGTAAGTTAGTAAAAGAAGAGGTAACTTGAAAGGCTTTTGAAAAGCTCATATATGGCTCTTGGAGGGAAACTGGATAGTCAGTTAATGGGAGATAATACCTCAGGTGGAACTGTTTGAATATGACCTTTAGAGAATTACTAAAAAGCATCCAACCAGTAACATTTTGATCACAAATGTCCCAAATTTCCAGAGGCTTTTCAAACATCAAAACCAGTATTTCCTAAAGACACACAAAGATTATTTCGCACTGCTGGGAATCAAAGAGCACATGGAGAGAGGAAAAATCTGGTAGTTTTTTGAAGTTCATCTCTCTAGTATCAACTTTAACATGTTAATCAGACAATTTTGTCTTCAGAAACAGAAGAAAACGGCTAATAAAATTTTCTTCATTTCAGTACTGTTATTATGGTTGGAAGAAATAATCAATTCATGCCGTTCTGCATGAAAAATAATTCCACTGTCTGTTCCAAGAGTGTCTGGAACTGAGTGATCACAACCAGCATTTGCTTGACACATTCAGTAATGAACAGAATATACCTATAAAATGTTTTTGATAAGGTTGAATTTCAAAGGCATTAATAACTTCTTTGATTAAGTGCTAACGGATCATTTCATTTTTACAAATAATTTAGAAATATAAAATGCTTGGCATATGAAGCACTTACTGAAGCAGATTTTTTGTTTAGGTTTCATCAGCTCTATGGAATTTTCCATCATAAGACTTGCTGAAAAGATGCATTATATGATCTGAATGACTGGTGATTGACGTGTCCCAAGGAGCACAATTTTAGCTGTTCCATATGAAACAGCTGTCTATCTACCATGGACAGACAAAGCCTGACAATTTCCCAACCAACTACAAACATAGGTTACAATTTTAAAGGGAAATTCAAAAGTTACAGAAGTTTATTTATTTATTTATTTATTAATACAAGATCCCAATGGTAACCAGAAGTTTCTCTTCCTTTCTTATGAAAACTTGAAGTAGTCTTGGAACATTATTTCCTTGCCACTTCAATCTCCCCTACATGCAAGAGAAAAGGAGGGAGCAGAGAAACCATTATTAGAGTTTTGTGTTGTGTGTTTTGTTTTTTTTTTTTCCTTTCCAAAACTAGATAAAGACTAAGGAAAAAAAATCGTCAGATAAGTGTTTGAGGAACATTATGGAATATTGAAAACCTGAGCGTTTGCCATTGAACACCTGTGCTAAGTGAGGAACTATGTTCTTCAGAAAGTATCTGAAAAGCTCACACACAGATATAAGAACCTCCAGTTTTATTTCCTCTGGTTCCACACTTTGATAATCATTTTCCTCATCAGTCTATTGCATTCTGTTTTCCATCCCAAAACATGCAACATACATCATAAAACAAGACAATATGCCACCAAAATAGCATATGAATATATTTTGGGAAAAAATGGTTCTTCTCTGGAGTGAAAGACTGAGACCAATTCACATTACAGTATTTCAATTGCAATTTTGTTGTCCAGAACATGGAGGATATATACCCAAAAACACAGTTTCCTTATCATAGAATAGCTTGGGTTGGAAGTGACGTTAAAGCTCATCTAGTTCCAACCCCCCTGCCATGGGCAGGGATGCCACACACCAGATGAGGTTGCCCAGGGCCTCATCCAAGATGGTTTTGAGCACCTCCAGGGATGGGGCATCCACAGACTCTCTGGGCAACATGTGCCAGTGCCTCACCACCTTCTGAGTGAAGAATTTCCTCCTAATTGCTAATCTAAATTTTCCCTCTTTGTGTTTAAAACCATCCCCCCTTGTCCTGTCATTATCTGATTGAGCAAAGAGTTGCTCTCCATCTTTTTTATAAGACCCCTTGAAGTACTGAAAAGCCATAAATAGGTCACCCTCAAGCCTGTTCTTCTTTGGGCTGCACAGCCCCAACTCTCTCAGCGTTTCTTCATGGCTTATACCAGCAGATCTCTAGGCACTGGTGTTCCTATTCCAACAAAAGCTCCATGGAGCTCTCATTGGTTTACCCTTGATCCTTCAGGAGGGCGGTGTAAATCTGCTAGGAGAAAAGAGCTCCTATCAGCCTACAGTGATGCTCCATGACGCAGATATTACTTGGCGAAAACTCCTGTAATGGAGCTCAGCCCTAAGCATGGAAAATTCCATTCCTGAAGTAATTGATTTAATCACGTTATGAGCTAGTGACATTTCAAGAGGCACGAGTGAGGAGAGGATCAGAACAGAAGTTGGAATTCGGTCTCTAGCCTATTTGCATTACAGAAATAGGCTTCACAGACTTACAAATACATTCTTCCACTGAGCATCATTAAATAAATAAATAAATAAATAAATAAATAAGATTGACTAGTATAGAGTGTTACAATATAATTATTAATCTTACAAATAGCATGGTGATTACAAACAAAATGTGAATTTTTACCTGAGGGAAACAACTTGCCACTGTAACTATATATCAAGGGCTATGGTAAAATTTTCATCACTGACTGCATTTTAAATTGAGACTGCAAGTTTATTAAAAGATATGCTTAAGCAGGAATTAATTCAAAGTCACATGGACTGTGTTATGTGAATCAGATTACATAATTGCAAATGTCCTATTACAATCAATTAATCTACTAATTCACCTTATGTAGTTCACATAAATTATTTTATTCAAAGAACGAAGTCACAGTGACTTATTTTAAATTCTGCTAAAGACTAGAAGGAAGCTGAAGGGCTGGAAACAAAGTAGAAAAAAAAAGCTTTAAAAAATTGAAATGATATGAAAAATGTGAACACAATAATTAGTAATAAGATCTATTATCTAATGCATAGACAGCTAACAGTGAGCTATGTAAATGCAAGCCCACTAGCTTTACTTTCCATGTGAGCACTCGAAGTGCAAGGCTACCCTGTTGTTTTCAGTTCTGGGCATCAAAATAATTCTGTTTTAATGGGAAAAGAGGAATTTGACCCACCTTCTCCAGCTGGATAGGTTACTTAGATGAGACTTGTCACTGCTTCTTCCTGTCACACAGAAGAGGAGATCAAATTAGTCAAGAGCTGGTCCTTGGCTTCTCCTTCCACCCATTTTTTAAATGACAACTCTTAGCTGCTCATGTTTTGTGATGGACTCAGCCAAGCTGATGAATGTCAGGCATGTTCTGATTCCTGCTTAGAAACAACAAAGGGTAGTGAACATTTTGAAAAAGGGTATCTTAACTATTTATTATGTCTTAACTATGTCTGAGAAGTGCTTGCATGGCATCAAGGCCTTCTCTGATTCTCACTTTGCACCCACAGTGAGCAAAGCTAGAGGATAGGGGGGACATAGCTGGGACAACTGACCCCAACTGACTAAAGTGACCAAAGGGTTTCTCCATGCCATTTCACACTCAGTAATAAAACTGGGAGGTGAAGGGTAGGGGTGGTGTTCTCTCCTTTACTTGCTTCACTAAAGTATCTCAAAAACTCTCATGAGTTTTTTCTCTCACTTTTGCCTTTCCAATTCTCTCCCTCACCCTGCTTGGTGGGCTGCAGGGTAGGGGCTTGGCTGATGGCTGGGGTCAGCCCACCAGATATTAATCAAACTTGTGATCCTAATGCCAAATCTATATCTAACTTATTATGGAAATGGTCAAATTTTGGCAATGATTTGTTAAAATATTTTTCTAAGTTGTAAAATAGTATAATATAAATTATATATTTAAATGAATAACATATATGCTGAATTTATACAGATGCAGTTATGTTCACTTAAAAGACTTATTCCATTTTAAGGAAGGAGAGAAACTAGCTGTAATTCTTGAAGACTAACAAAATTCAAAATTCAATAGGGTTGGGTCATCTAAATCTATTACACGAAGATACCTAAAGGACAGAAAACACATAGTCTATTCTAAAGGCTCTTTCAGATTAAGAACTGCAGATTTAGACAAAAAACATCACAGAAACCTGTTAAACTAAATAAATGTTCATAAAGATGTCTGTTCAATGGCTAATATATTTAAAAAACAAAAATGATTGTTTTTTTCTGCCCAGATAGTTTTTAATACACAGGATTACTCAAAGTATTATGGAAACACAAGTGTTTACACTTACAGTATATTACGTTACAGCACATGTAGCCAAGATTTGGCTTGGAAAAACTGTCAAGAAGCTATGTATAAATGTCCCAGTTGGAAAAGCATTTGTTCGGAATGACAAAAGTTAATACCAATGAAAGCTAAAAATGTGAAAATAAAGAATGAGTCCAATTTCAAGAATTTCCACTTGCATGAATATTCTGGGCAAGAGACATTGCATTTGAATTTGTTTTTTCAACATGAAGGTTAATCTTGATATAAAATATGCATATACAAACGTTAAATCTTCAGATGATGTAAATATCTCTAGTGTTTTTAATTTCAATGTTCTGAAATATGACTTACATATTGTCAAATGTTTCTGCCTGGTGCAACCAATCATTTTTTATTTTTCTTCATTTGTGAAATGTCACTATATTCCATGGCAATACAGAATGCAGAAGTCAGCGAGTAAAATAAAATCTTGGCATGAATAACATTCACCAATTCACATTTTCAAAAATATCTGCATAATAAATTTTCAAGTTCCATCTCTTTTTAGCCCCATTAAAGTACTTTTATGGAAAAAAAAATATTTATAATCCATAATTCACTCAAACAATGTTGTTGTATATAATACTCTAGGGTGATAATGAAAGCTTATTTTAAACATGTTCATGGTAATATCAGACTAATCTGAGCAAGGAACAACTTAGATATTTTCACTGTGATCATTGCCCATTTTGGACAAGCGAATATTACCAATTTACTGTTACAATGGAAATGTGAAATGTTAATTTTGCTATTACTTTTATTTGTTAGTCTTTTTTTTTTTAACTCGAAGAGCAGAAACATGTACCTGAGCATATTACATTCCAGCAAACATTTTCACATTACAGTCCTTATTAGCCTTCTCTCCTTTCACAAATACTGCAGTGTATGAACAGAGGAAGAAAGAATCAAAGTTTTCTCCTTTTCTCGAAAATACACAGATATCTCAAGGAGAAGAAAAGTATTTAGAAAACTGCTAAATCACCATACTGTTGTGCCAGCTTGTCTACATGGTAAATAAAAGTCAGAGGTGTTAATTTGAGGCTTCTTCATGTTAAGGAGGCAATAAATAAATAAACCAACAAACCTCACAAACATCAGTTGGTATAAATCAAACACCTACAAATGCCTATGGATAATACTGATATCAGCACATCCAATGCTCTGCCTCTGAGGAAAGGGAAGGGGAGGGGAGGGGAGGGGAGGGGAGGGGAGGGGAGGGAAGAAGTGACAACATTAATACCTTCACACCACATTCTCAGCATTCTCACACAACATTCCCCTTTATCTCCAGACTGACAACACTTGCTTTGAGGAAAATTTGCTATTTTAATTGTTTATGGTTTATAATCAGAAGATACCTGAGTGCTTATATCTCTTGCATGACCACATCAAGTTAGTGCATGGGTACTCCTAAGTTCCCTGAAATCTACTTGAAGGTAGGTAGAAATGAGATGTAATCCAAACAGTATAACTTTCCACTGTGTATTATACAGGGGAACTAAATATTTGATCTCAAATAAAAGTGTCAATATCCACAAATAAATTTGTGTGAATTTTACTAAAATGGTTTATTTCAGTAAATTAAAGTACTTTCTAGGTATAAACTTTACTAACATAGAATATCTTCTTGCAGGAACTAGGTTAAATAGCACTTCTTTTGTACATACTTATTCTTTCTTGCTTTTTTTTAGCCTGTATTCATAATGCAAATAGTAGACCCTGTGAAATAAGACCGGAAACTTCATTTTGTCTCAGATTGAGACACTCTGATGCTCTTCTGTGCTTGCTGAGCTGTTGAGTGGGTACCTATAGCCAAAAGCATTGAACAACTTTGGGAACCTGAGGTAACCCCTAAAAAATGCCAGAGACATTTGTGCAAAAAAACATCTGATCACGGCTCTTGGTCTGTTTGTATTTTGCTTGTATCGCTGTGAGTAAGAGGGAAACCCTGTAGAGTTTAACATGCCTTTTGAAAGAGGCTCTGGGCTTCTACAAGAAGATCAAGGTGTGCAAGAGATAGGTTTTACAAAATCTGTACAAAAATAAGGCTTGCGGAAGCCTTTCCTATGTCTCTGAATGAGCTATCATCAATTCTTGTATACCTCTGTCTCCTTGTCCTCAGTGTCTCTTTTTATGCTGCAACATTTGACCTTATGCATAAAAATTGCCATGCTAGGTCAGATCAGCAGCAAAGTATTACTAACCCAATTATATCGGAGACAGGGGAGATGAATTTCTCTTATTGATTGTTATGAGGGGAAAAAAAAAAAAAAAAAAGGCAGCTGTAAATGTCTTGCTTTCCAGCTCTGCTAGAATTCCCTAGTCCTTTATATATCAGGGAAGAGTAATTGCAGCACTTTTCTGTACAATTCTTTTTTTTTTTTTTTTTTTTTTTTTTTTTTTTTTTTATAAAGCGTATTGATTTCTGTGTTACTTTAATGATACTCTTCAGCTTGGCTTCTTGTAGAGGTTATCCATGCTTTTAATCATTTTTGTTGTTCATTCCCAAATCGCCATTTATTTCTGCAATATTTGCATGAATGTTTTAAAAAGGTCTATACCAAAACATTACTGTGCAGAGCACCACAGAGGGAAATGATGTGGCTCACAATGTTCTCAAGTGAAAGAAACACCTTGAAGTTTATCATACCTGACACTCTATTATATAGCAGGAACATCTGTAGGCAAGGATATATGGACAAAGTTATACAGCATTGCATTAACAAAGAATTTATATGGCATGAGCTATTTGACAACAAACTGCAAATGAAAAACAAAAAGCCAGGAGAGAGGCTTTCCTGCAGTTGTGTTTGCTGTTATCCATGTTCTGTGACAACATCCAGAGGAATTAAATGTCACTGCAAGTCTTATTATACAGCAAAAAATTAGATGTTTCTCTAAACAGGAGTTTGGTAATTTTTTGTCACTTCAAATTTGCCAATAAAGTGAATTTTGAGCAAAGGTAAGATGATAATGTACCACAAATAATGAATCTGATTCTTTAGTGTTCTTCCTGCTCACAAAGTATCTACTAAAATTCTGTGGTTTTTGTTTGTTTGTTTGTTTTGTGTGTGTGTGTGTTTGTTTGTTTTGTTTTTGATTGTTTTAGTTTTTTCTCTGTTCTATGATTTTTTTTTTTTCCATTTTCTTCTTTTAATCTATGGCATATTCAGACCTTAAGCTAGCTGGTAACTGCCATTGTTTTTGTAAGCATGAGTTCCCGATAATTCAAAGATTAGGCAGACATGGTATGCGGAAGCACTTCTTGACAGTTCAGGTGACTGAGCACTGTCACAGGATGCCCAGAGAGGTTGCAGAGGCTTCTTCTTGGAGATCTTCAAAAACCAACTGGACGTGGTGCTGGGCATTCTGCTCTGGGTGGCCCTGCTTGAGCAGGGGCTTGACCAGATGAGCTCTAGAGGTCCCTACTAGCCTCAACCATTCTATGAGTATGTGCATAAATCTGTCTCTATGTCAGTTTGTGAATCGTTACCATGCGTACTGGGCTTATGTAGCGAGGTTTGGGTTGCAGAGCCCAGCAGCTGCCCCCTGTCAGATCAAAGCCAGCTCTGGCCGGCTCCAAAAGGGACCCACTGCTGGCCAGAGCCAAGCCAGTGAGCAATGCTGGTTGGGTGCAGGCCCCAGGCCGGAGCTGCAGCCCCTGGAGAGGAGCTCATGCAGGAGCAGGGGTCTGGGGGGAGCTGCCGCCCATGGGGACCTGTACTGGAGCAGTTTGCTCCTGGGGGATGGACCCTGTGGTACAGAGCCATGTGGGACCAGTTCTTGAAGACCTGCTGCCTATGAGCAGCCCCTACAGGATCTGTTTTGGAAGGACAGCATCCCGTTGGAGGGACCCCACGTGGAGCAGGGGCAGAGAGTGACCGTAAAGGAGTGGCAGAGATGAAGTGTTAGGGACTGACCACAGCCCCCATTCCCTGTTCCCCTGTGCTGCTCAGGGGGAAGGCATAGAAAAATGTGGATGAGGGGAGGATGTTTTTAGTTTGCTATTAGTTTCTCACTACTCTAGCTTATTAGACTACGTAATAAATTTCATTTATGTCCTTATGCAGTGTCTGTTTTGCCTATGACAATAATTGCTGAGTGATCTCCCTGTCCTTATCTCAACCCTTGAGCCCTTTCCATCATATTTTCTCCTCTTCTACCTTTGAGGAGGTGGAGAGAGAAAAATAGTGGTGGAGTTCAGCTGCCCAATTGCATAAAACAACCACATTGTGCCACTTGGTTTTAGTGAAAACAGGGGGACACTGAAATTTGGTGGGGCCCTAATTTTCCAAGGGGTTTGTGTGTTAAGTTTAGTTTTAAAGTAAGTTATGTTAGTGCAGCAGAATGTTGTCACCCATTATTCCCCCACAGCCATGTGCTCCTCCCATGACTTCTCTGGTAATTATGGGCTGAGCTCATGCTTCATCCTGAGCATAGTCTAGCTTAAAAACTGATCAGACCTGACTTAAGACATCATGTCATCTAGCACTGGTGTTTGTTAACAGATATACTTGGAATTCTTATTATTGCATAAAAAATACATCCAGAGTACTTCTGCTGTCTGGAAATCATCTGCTATTATTTACTGTGTGAATGAAAGTTCCCCCCTTGAACCTCACCTACAGGTTATGCACTTCTGAGGTAACAGTATTTTTGTAAAAGTATATCTCTTACAATAAATTAAAGCTGTATCATCTTTAAGTATATTATGTGTTCTCTCATTAAAAGATTTTGAGTGGGACATTTATTACCAGATGCCTGGAACTGTGTGGATTCTTACAGAAGGAGAAAAAATAAAATCATTGCTCTTTTTTTTTTTGTTTTCCAAGAGCATGACAGGATAATGTCTTTGGTAAAAAATAGCCTACTGCAGACAGGTTTTATCATCTGAACTTGCATCCTCCAACTATAATTAATATTCTTCAAATATCGAACCTTATCTACTGTCTTAAATGAACCTTGCCTGTGAGAAAGCCAGAGGCATAGTTTAATTTAAACTTTCTAAGATGAAAAGGAAAAACACCTTACTCTCCCTTTTACATAGCTGATAAGGACCTTCAGTCTTAGGGAATGTCAATGTCCTGTGCCAGTGTGATGTTTTATAAAGAGGATGACAAAAGTTGGTCCACTAGAGTTATTCAGCATGTTGTCAGAGAAATTAAGAAAGCTGGAGGGCTTGTTTGTTTGTTTATTTATGTAATAACTAACTTACTGTAGAGCTGATAATGGATGCCAATGTAATTTCCCAAAATGAAGAACCATAAACAAATCCTTGGCATGTATTCAACTGATGTGATACAAAGCAACAAATAGCTTTGCAGGTCGAAAAACCTGGTTACACTGAAAGACTGAAGGTGGATTTCACCCTGCTTAACTTCAGCCTTCTTATCTGAGCTGAGTGCTTAGGCTCTCCCTCTCCAGGGACTCAAGGGGAATAGGGAGTGAGTTATCCATCCTGCCTGAAGTGTCTGTGCCAAGGTCTACTGACTGAACTGCTCAAATGCCTCACTGACTACACAGAACACCCAAAATTTTATACAGTTAATATTCTTGTGTAGGAGCTGGCTTGGAAAGAAGAGATGATTATTTTTTATTTTTCCTTTCCAAAATCTTCTCCTGTAGCCAACAAAAATGAATTGCGTAAGATCAGTCTGTGATGCAAAAATGTCCTCAACAATTTTGTAATGTCCTCAGTATTTTGTACCAGGACTACTCTGCTTATATTTTGCTCAAGCCGTAATTAAACTATCCTTGACTCTCTGTGTCAACTTCTTAATTCTCCATAATCAGAAGTGACGCTGACTGAGTAGGTTGCAACAAAAAAAGAATTAGAAAAGAAAGGAATAAGAGTGATTATTATTATAGCAGTAGATTAGGGGCAAAGCATTAAAAGGCTTTCTACGCCGACATCTGTAACATCCATTTCAAAGGATAAACTTCTGTGACTTTGCTAAGGCTTCCCTTTCTTAAAAAGAGTGCAAGAACCTTAAAACAAAATAAAGTTAAGTGAAAATCCAAACACCTCATAAAAAATGCAATTATATTTCAATTACCCTCTGGGTATTACAATGAAAAGAACATTTTGATTCCACTGCCCTTGGCTCCAAAAGAAATAGAATAATGAGAATTCTTGGCATTTGCTATACGTAAAGGTAA